TGTAAGACTAAGGGTGGTTAATGACTTGATATTCGCCAAACCATCAATTAGACCATCGGTCAGGTCTCCATCAAAGGAAGAGTAGTTGTTGATTGTAAGGCTCAGTGTAGTTAATGACATGTATTGTGCTAACCAGTCACTCACACCATCGATCATGTATCCCTTAAAGTCCCTGTAGTTGTTGAGTGTAAGGCTCAGTGTAGTTAATGACATGTTTTTTGTCAACCAGTCACTCAGACCAGACATCGAGCCTCCCTCAAAGTCCCTGGCATAGTAGCTGTTGAGTGTAAGGCTCAGTGTAGTTAATGACTTGTTTTTTGTCAACCCGTAACTCAGAGCAGAGATCATGCATCCCCTAAAGTTCCTGTAGTTGTTGAGTGTAAGGATCAGGGTAGTTAATGACATGTTTTTCATCAACCCCTCATTCAGATGAGAGATCATGCATCCCATAAAGTGCCTGTAGTTGTTGAGTGTAAGGCTCAGTGTAGTTAATGACATGTTATCAGTCAACCCCTCACTCAGATCAGACATCAAGCATTCCTCCCAGCCACTGGCACAGTAGTTGTTGAGTGTAAGGCTCAGTGTAGTTAGTGACGTGTTCTTAGCCAACATGTCACTCAGATAATGCATCACAGGTTTGTCGCTAATCAAGTCACTCTGGATGTTGAATGTAAGACTCAGGGTAGTTAGTGATGTGTTTTTTGCCAAACCGTCACTCAGATCATCGGCCACCATTTTCTCCCATATCCAGCAGTCGTTGAGGGTAAGGCTCAGTGTAGTTAATGATGAGTTTTTTGCCAAACCATCACTCAGACCACAGGGCATGGGTTCACTCATCACATACTCATTGTAGCTGTTGAGTGTAAGGCTCAGTGTAGTTAATGACTTGTTTTTTGCCGCAGCATCCCACAGAGCATCCATGTTGTTAATAAAGGAACTGTTGTTAAATGTCAGACTTAATGTAGTTAAAGACTCACTTTTTGCCAAACCCTCACAGAGAGTGGATCCCCAGTCTCCACTGATGCTGTCAGGGTTGTTAACGCTCACACTAAGCTTTGTTACACAGCCATCCTTAACTTTGGTAAGTACAGGTGTAAGTGACGAGGAATCATCAGCAGATAAACCAACTTCTCTGCAAATCTTGTCGCCTGAATATGAGTCACTAACATTTAATGCAAATAGATATGTTTGGTTGCGTGATAGCCTTTCAAGAGTGTTCTTTCCGTCCCCCATCAGCTCCCCCTGAATACTAATAGTCAACTTTGAAAGGGTTTTGAGTTTGTTCAAGTGCTTAAAAAGACAGTTAGCAACATTATCAGTTACTCTTTCCTTAAAATTCAAAGTGACACAAGAAACTGATGAGGCTATCAGTCCTTTGCAAAGATCATTTGCTCCACTGCAGTCTAACTCTCCCAAGATGTTGACAGCCAATGAGTGGAGTTTTGAAGCTAAAAGGTTTTCATTCAGAACTGGGCAAAGGCAAGCCACCTGTGAAGTTCCTACCATGCCAGTAACATTTGGATGCAATGTAAAGGACGTAGTTGACTTTACTGCAGAGTGGAGAGTCCTAGAAATATTTGCCCA